CACCAGCCCCCACTGCCCTCCCAGAGCCGGGGAGAGAACCCAGGAGTCCTGGCTCCCAGCCCCCCACTCACTCACCTCTGAAGCCTCCACAGCACAGAGAGGCTGAAGCCGAGGGTGATGCCCACGGCCAGCACCAGCGCCCAGCTCTGTCTCCGCAGCATCCTTGGGGGGCCCACCATGGCGCTCGCTGTGGGGGGAGCAGGGCAGGTGAGACACATTCACACACCATGGGGGAATCCACTGGGCACGGCCCCCCTGGGGTGCCCCTCCTCCGCTCTGGCCTCCTGGATACCACAGGCTGGGAGCCAGGACACCTGGGTTCTCTCCAGCTCTGGGAGGGGAGTGGGGGCTGGTGGGTTAGCACAGGGGGGGAGGGCTGGGAGCCGGATAGAGGTAACCATGTTAGCTGGGAGTGGAGCATAAGGCCAGGGGACACCTCCCCCAACCAGAGAAAGGGGTGGGGGGGCCCATGGGATGGCAAGATACTGACTCAGATCCCCCCCCCACCCACTACCGGGAATCAGTGGGGAAGGAGGGAGGACTGAGGTCAGCTCCTGCTCAGGACCCCAGGACAGTGTTTCTCCACCCAGGGACCCACCACCCGGGGTGCCAGGATGTGTCAATGGGTTGCGTGGCGGCTCCTGCCCCACGGGGCGGGCTGGGCCCCCTCCCTGCTCCGGGCCCTGTGACCTCTGGGCTCCTGGCGCCGCTCGGGTGTGGCCCAACTGGAGTCCGGGTAGGAGAGCCAAGGCCCCACCCCGCACAACAGAGCTGCTGCAGGGGAGAGAACCCAGGAGTCCTGGCTCCCAGCCCCCCTGCTCTAACCACCAGCCCCCACTCCCCTCCCAGAGCTGGGGCGAGAACCCAGGAGTCCTGGCTCCCAGCCCCCCTGCTCTAACCACCCGCCCCCACTCCCCTCCCAGAGCCCCCCCCCATCAAACCCACCAGCCCCCCCTCCCGCTGAGCCGGGGGGAGGACCCAGGCGTCCGGGCTCACCCTGGGGTGCAGCACACGGGCAGGGCCGGCTCCTTCCTGTGCTGCCTCCCTCCGGCTCCCCCTGCAGCCTGGGTGGGAACATCCCGGGGGCGTCTCCCAGGCTGGACGAGGCCGAGACAGGATGTGCCGAGCCCCACCCGGGCTCCCGCCTGCTCCCCACATCCCGGAGGGGGGCTCGACCCCCATCCTGCCCCAGGCCCCACCCCCACCCCCGCTCCAAGCCCCGACTCTTTCCCCCCACCCCCCGCGCCTCCTGCCCGCCGCGGAACAGCTGATGGCGCCGGAGGGGTCGGCACTGGGGGGAGCTGAGCACCGTGGGGCCGCCAGCCCCAGAGCATCCCCAGCCTCTGAACCCAGCACAGGAGGCTCTCTGGGCCCCCAGGCCTCACCGTATATCTAGGGCTGCATCCAGGGGGGCTCTGTCCGCTCTGTCCCCCACTCCAGAGCCCCCGTCCATCCAGCCGAGCCCCCATATCATCTCCCCCAACAGCTGCTCCCCTGTCCCGTGTCCTCCCCAGAGCTGGGGAGAGAAACCAGGAGTCCTGGCTCCCAGCCCCCCCTGCTCTAACCCACCAGCCTCCACTTCCCTCCCAGAGACGAGGAGAGAACCCAGGAGTTCTGGCTCCCAGACCCCCCTCCCCGCTCTAACCACCAGCTCCCACTCCCCTCCCCGGTAAACAGATCGGGGTCCCATCCCCTCCGCCCGTATCCTCCCACCGGCCAAGCTGGGGTGACCTCCTGGGCACCCAGTCGCTGGGCTCCCCCATCTCCAGGCCGTGGTCCGGGGTCCCGGCTGCCAGGTCGCACCTGGTCCCCTGCAACAACTAACTCCCTCTGCCGTCCCCTGGTTACACACACCCACCCACGGCACGCAGGGGAAACTGAGGCAGGCCCCGGTCTCCCAGCAGAACACGAAGAAACCACCCACCCCACCCCCCGTTTCGTCCCAGAATCCAAACCGAGAGTCCAAACACCAATAAAGCGAGGAAAGGTGGGGTCTGCCTGTCGGCCCGCTGGCTTCGGGGGCCTTTTGGGAGCCAGGTTTTCAAACGTCTGTCGGGAGCTGGGATTTGCTTTGTTGCTTTGCTGCAGGAGCAGGACGTCTCCCATCATGGTTTGACCCTAGAAATTGGGCGTTGAGCGTTCCCAACCCTCGTCCTTTCTCGCGCCTGGGTTTCCAACCTACGAGCTCCAGTGCGGCCAACTCCTGCAAGGTCTCCACCAGGGCGCAGGGAGTGGGTGGCTAGGGGCTGTGTGAGGACAGGGGGTAGCTCAGGGTGCAGGGAGGG